TTCAATGGAGCTGTTAACATCTCATCGCTCAATATCGCTGGTAGCTTGTCGCTCCTACATGACCCTTTTTTAGAGCGATTTCGAGCGATTTTGCTCCTGATTGCATACAGCCCAATAGGAAAAAGCCGCGCGACAAGTCGCTCAATATCGCTCAGTGTGAATGGGGCCTTATGCTTAATGGTTATAATGCCTATGGGCCACCAAAGGAGAGTTAGAAAAGTATGAAGGCCCAAGTACAATGAATTGAATGTGTATTTTACTTTATTTTATGAAACTACAGCTGGTTAAAAGTAAATCATAATCTTAAAGGAGAACTATTGGGTTAAGGCTTTTCCCCATAGTTCTCCTTAGGGTAACAGGAGGACACAAACTAGCGTCCTCCTGTCACCCTAGGCTCAGTATACCGCGAGCTGTAGCTCGCGGTATACTGAGACGCCGCAGCTGAAGCGGATCCCGACAATTGTGCCGGGATCCGCTCCCAGCTGCGTGACTGACAGCTGGCTCTGCCTATCTAGAGGCAGAGCCAGCTGTACCCGCCCCCTCCACCGTCCGTTCCGCCAGTCAGCGCTGGCGGATCGGAGCGGGGAGGGGGGAATCCAGCCCCTCCCCTGTCATGGCAGAGAGCTGTGACAGGATCGAGAGGTGAGCGAATGCCGGTATGTGTTCGCTCACCTCCCGATCTACTGAGCCGACCTGTGACAGTCTCATTGTCACAGGTCGGCTAGAACTATGAGGTGAGTGAAAAGCACTCACCTCATAGTTCACCTTTAAACTGATATACATATATACTGTATACATTTTACATGACAAAGGATTGCCAAAGCACTATGGGTCATCTAAAAAAAATGTGCATATCAGTAGTTATCTTCTTTCAGGCATGCTGTCTCTCACTGAAGCCTCAAACAGAGTCATAGAGAGGAAAGGGGAGGGAAGTCGCCAGGAGAGACTGGTAAAAAATGTAAAAAGAAGCCTTAAGTGCCATCAGGGGGCCAAAAATAAGAATGCAGAACATTGTGTATTTACCTAACAATTTTTAGTCCTAACCATAAAAATAGAAAACATATGCAATGCCACTACTATGTTCTGTTTAAGGCTGAGCCACAGGTTCCCACAGATACTCAACAACATCAATAAACCTTCATTAATCATGCTGTCACTCACTGAACTGCATTTATGAAGATCTGATTGGTTCGCTCTGATAAATAAAGAACACAGTGATGGGATTTTAATGATTTGTGAGTTAGGTGCACTCAAGCTAGTCAAACTTACATCTGTTATAGTGTTCAGAGCAGTATCTGCGCCAATGCTGAAATCTGAACCGGGGACATTGTTGGAGACAGTGGCGGGCACCATAACCATAGGGATACAGAACTCATCATATTTCCCTCGAGCAACAGTCAGCTCCATCAGTCCCAAGTAGGCCTGGGATGTAGGCACGGTGTAGGAAGGAAAAAAGACACAATAGTGGTTGTAGGGGTGGAAAAGGATCTTAATGGAGCCATGGGGAAATCCATAACAAACACAGCACACAGAAAGAACCACTACACATAGTACAAATAAAGACAAATAATGTAACAATCTTATAATGAAAACACAACATACATCACCTAAAGACAACATTACAAATGGATTTAAACAGATACATTTGTGAAATTTGTATTCATAAAACTAAAACAAAAAAATTATGAATAATAGAGTCACAAGCCAAAGCCAATATGTAAGAAAATAAATAGAAATAATTCTATAAATAACAAACATGGGCATTATATCATTATTTTAGAACATACACATTATTTTTTAATAATATAAAATAATA